TGAACAATGAAGTATCGTATACATATCGAAAATCATACAAAAATATAAAATAATTAAAAAATATGTATCAAATATGTATCAAAATTTTAAAAAATATAAAAAAAATAAAAAATATATATATCTGGTACGTATCGGAGGGAGCTTGGATACATAAAGGATACGGGTATGTAATAAGTTTACAAGTATCGGTACTTCTTAGCATAGGTCCACCACTATGTCCATTTCTGTTTGGCTATCCCATTAGGCACTTTGACATTGCACGTCCTTCCTAAAAACCCCATAGCTATTGTGGACATGGTTTAAAAATGCAGTAGTGAGGCGTGCCTTGAGGCCCGCCTTACTGTAAGGCGCATGTAGTATGCTTCGAGGCGGTATTTTTTAGACTAAAAATATGATGCTCGAGCCTCTAAATCAGAGGCTCACGCCTCAAGGAGCGCCTCATTTAAAATTTGATTTTTCAATTGTATAAAGAGAAATCAGAAAGGGTCCTTCTTAAAAAAAGAAAAGGCCCATTTAAAAATGCATTTTGGGCCCAAACAAAACAATAAAATACCTAGAAAACTAAACGGCAGCCAGAAATTAGAGGACCAAAAACGAACAAATTCAACAGAAATTCAAAAATCAGAAATTTTTTTTTTTGATAACCGTGGATGTCCGGGCCAACTTGTGCACACCTCGACTAATTCCTCGGGGCCCTGAAGTTTACAGTCGGGTACTCACTTCAGTGGCCCTGAGGGGACTCGAATTGGTGACCATTGGGGAGCAAACTCAAGGCCTGACCAATTGAGCAACCCCTCAGGGTTAAAAGTCAGAAATTGAGAGTAGCGAAAAGGAAGATGATGGGGGAAATAAGATATGATGATGATTCCATTAATGATGCTAGTAATAGTGATGATAGTGCAGACTATTAGGCTTTTTTTTTAGTTTAAGTTGCTTCTTTTTTTTCCATTGCAAATGGAGTGATTTCTAACTTTTGTAATGTTTTTTTCGCTAAACACATTCTTTCTTTAGGTGGACTATATCTCAATATACTAGTAGCTATATATCATATTTACTATATGCTCCAACTTTGATTTTTTTGTATTTTTGTATTATTTTATAATTCTTTTACTTAAATTTTTTATTTTTTGTGAGGCTTACGCTTCAATCCTCCTCGAGGCTTACGCCTCGCCTCATAAAGAAAAACTGCCTCAACATTTATTTTCGTTTTTTTAAACCTCGATTGTGGATAGAATAAAGCACTAAAATTTTTTCTACCAATTCCCACCGGCCTTGTGAAAATTTCATCCAAGCCATTAATAGTTGATCCTTTCAATCACTACCAACCTATACAACCAAAAATCCATTCACAAGTGTGCAATTGACCACCCACCATCTCTTGTCTTGCCTGCTTCACCTAATGTCTTGGTATAAACTAACACAACCTGAGTACCCCCATTCCAAATGTGAATTTTTCCCTCAATCTCACTGCTCTAACCACAAGATACAGAAGCACGCATAGTTTGAGTGGTGAAGAATAATACATACATGACTATCGAGTGATCAACAAGGTAGTCTGAACCTTCTTCTTCTGTCTTCATATAGTACACTCGATAAGCACGCGCAGCTTTCTTAATTTCATCTGAGCTACCAGTTAACCCAATCAACTTTGGATGAAATTCTGCACGGAGAAGTGCAATCATTATTAAAAATAAACTTTCAGCTGGGATGATCATGTAAAGAACAAGTCAGAATCACATTCGGAGATTTACCTTTGACATACTCACGAACTTGTTCAACGGTATCTCTTTCTGGATCAACTGAAATGAAAATGGGCACCACTTCCATTCCAGATTTTTCTTCTATAAATGTAGAAAAAAAGAAACCAAGTATTTTGGCAAAATTTCACCAAACATAAATAAATGCAAGAACAAAGTAAAGGTAAACATGTTAAATCAATCCTAGATTAAACGCTACCACGAAAACAGATGAAAACCCACCATTGTCGGTCAACAAAAAATATTTCAACAACTTCCATCATAACAATGCACCATGATCACAAAGATGGTATCACAATGACAAGCCAACCAGTAGAACCAAGAAACTTACTTATTTTATCAATTGCAGCAGCAAGCTTCTGTAGCTCATCCGGGCATATATCAGGGCAGTGAGTGAAGCCAAAATAAATCAAGTTCCATTTCCCTAAAAAGTTCTTATCAGTTACAGCTTTCCCATTATGGTCGATGAGGTTAAATGGACCCCCAATAGCTGCTTTCCCAACAGAGGGTCCCTGCTTCACAGATTTTGAAGTGCTATTTATTCCTGCAAAACACAAGTTGTGAAAGACAACTAAAATTCCATCAACAGAAAATGGAAATACGGTAAAAGGAATTCAAATGCAAAATTTGCAACAATTGTCTTGCAGAAGGTATTTTTCCATTAGTTTATATTTAGTATTACTTCACCGAGGTTCCATGTAATATTGCAGGTCTTATAAAACTTCAAAGGCACTCTTATACCAAATGAGAACACACATTTCTAACAGTTATGTTATATCATGTTCTTTAGGAGGAAGATAAAGCCAGATTGGTGCAGGAAACAGGCTAGCAACTAAAACAGATTAACAATTGGTTCATCAACCAACAGAAAAGGAATGGGCCGTTGGTTTCCGAAGACTGCCTAGTGGTCGTTGCCAGCAACCCCGTACCATTGAGACTGTATGACAGTCTCCAATGATTCGCTAATAGCATCTGGCGACTGGCTGGTGATCATCAACAGCTACCTGATGGTCATCAATGACCGAGATCCCGGGTCCTCCATAGTAGTTATCATCTAATTGACAGCCAGCCAGGGTAGTCGCAGTGGTGAATGAGTGTGGTGTTCATCTCTCGTAGAAGTTGTTGTAAGTTACAAAAATGGTTTCCATTTTAAAAAGGAAAGTACATTTTATTTACTTTGTTTTTTACGTTGGAACAAAAACACATTTTCCATTGACTAATTTCTACTGGCATACCAAAGAATGGGAAATGCCAAAAAAGGACAAGGAAAGAAAAGTTTGCAGAAGCAAGCAAAACCTTAGAGTGGATTAGTGGAACACTTAAAGGTATAACAAGACAACCTCAGAAATCATAGACTAGATGGCGTCAAACAATTCCCCTATCATGGATGCCAAAAAGTCATTTGTCCTCGTGTACAAAGAAAAAGTAACAAAAAGATTAAGCTCAGACAATAAAATACCAACGAGAAACCATATTCATAAATACGTCTATAATAACCAACACCACCCCAGATATGTTCTCCACCCATAATCGAAGAGCACACAAACCTTACAGCATTGCTTCTTCTCCATCAGATTTATTCAATTTAATTACTCACACAACATCCCACACCCCCCTCCCCCCAAAATTTTTTTTTCTCCACCTCCAACAAATCGAAGTGCAGAAATTCTTGCGGCAGCGTTGAACCTTAATGGTGTAAATTTAGGCAAAGGATTTAATTACACGCTCAATCAAAATTAAAATAGCGCATTGTGATTGCTAAGGACTAGTTACTACTAGATATTTCAATATGTGCAGCAATGAAACGAACAGACTGACAAAAAAGATTTAAATAGTAGAGCTCGAACATATTGAAGCTAAGGCTTAGCCAGTTGTTGATGACGATCGAATGAATAACTCAGTTATAACAACAAAAATAGCTACAGCTATCATTCCTCAAAAAAGTATCTCCTTCTGAACTGAATTTTGCTACGTCAAACAACATTGTAAGAAAACATTATGAAACTAATCCTACAAAAACAACACACGAGTACAACCAGAATTAATTTTCAAGAACAATAAGACGCCACCACTTGTCTTCTTGGTCCTTGTACCCTCTTATTCAAACTCCAATAGGTTCAATAAAAATCAGTTAGCATTTCACTAAATCAGATCATAACTCGAAAGAAAATAAGCAAAATCATCAAATCAGATTTCAAAATCAAGAAATAACCAGAAGCCTCCGTGAATGTTCAAACTGTAGGTATATATACACCACAACTCACCATAGTAATCTAACCTTCAATGTGCCGCTTCTTTTCCCTGTCATAGTAGTAAACCAATCCCGCTCCCGTGCAAAGAAGCAAAAAGAAGCTCATCCACGAAACAGGCTGGTTCAGTGGAAGTTCAATCAATCATCAATTCACCAATGTAACGAAAATCCAAAAAAAAAAAAAAAATCAACTAATAATGGATCGGTTCCACTGACCTTTTCAGCTAATAAAACCATTTTTGATAATAGAAAAACTACTAAAATCCATTACAAACAATAAGAACAAAAATGGGGAAAAAGAATTACCCCACCGCGAACAGGCTTCCCTTGCGATCCACCAGAACTCTTGCCATCATTACTGTTTCCAGAATTACCCTCCGACGATCCACTATCCGATGTTCCAGTTCCAGGCGCATTTGAATTTGATGGATTAATACTGCTACCAGTGGCAGTCGTGCACAAAAATCTGAAATTGATTGCAGCAAAAGCTGGGTACTTTCCGTATTGATCATCTCTGCAAAAATCCAATGGGAAAGTAGGGGAATTTTCGGGAAGGCTGTGAAACGAGGGTCTATTGAAACGCCATTGAGCAGTAAGGGAGCCATAGAAGCTGCGAATACGTAAACTTCGAGAAACGGATGAAGCCATTGCCACCGTTAAAGGAATTCTTCGCTTGAGGTTTTGGTAATACAGGTTCCCAAAAGAGCTAAACCTTATTTCGAGGGTTTATCTATGGGCTGTAGTCTGTTTGGGATTTAATTCTTCCAAAACTCTTTTTATTTTACTTATTCATTTTTTATTAAGTTTATACAATAAAATATTTTATACGTCAATCCAAAACTTTTCCCTACTAAACAACCACGTTCTTAAAAAATTTCAAAACAACGTTTTTCCAAAGAAATAACTACCAAACGAGGGGTAAAGAGTCAAAGAACAATTGTAGCCAGCAATATTGTTTAGCATTTGTTTGACAATCATTAAAATGATTTTTTTTTTTGGAAAAAAAAAAGTGTTGAAATAGTGAATTTTTTAAAAAATTGTGATTAAAAAAAAAAATTAATTTACATATAAAATATTTTATTGTACAAATGTGTGATTAAAAATTAATTTGAAAACATATTAGTTCTATTTTAATCATTGTCAAACAAGGCTTAGACTTCTGCTTAATGGTCTAAGTCGAGTGCGACAAGGCGAGGTTGAGAAATTTTACCATCCTTATTACAGTTTCGAATGCGTTAATAAATTATTTAGATTATAAATAGATAAAAATAAATAATGTATAATTGATTACTACTTGTCAATCTCGTGAAATCTGTAAATAAAAAAATATTTTTAGTATTTATAAACAATTTATCAACGTGAGCCAAACATCCGCTAAATAGAAATTCAATAGGAGAAAATTCTATATAGAGATGCAAATTCAATGGAGAAAAAATATCGACATAAAATATTTGAATTACTTTGCTTGATATTGGGTCTCTGACTCTCTATACAAAATATTAAAAATGTTAAAAAAAAAAAACACATATTACTAAATAAAAACAATTTTAAAAATTAGTTCCTTGCAAATAGTAAAATAACAAATGGAACAAAACTAATTTCAAATGTCAAAGATTGAATATTCCGTTGAACCATACAACAGCGCTCAAATTACAATGTTCATAACGTCCGTATATTTCTATTTCCATTTAATTTATAAGATTTTATCGGAGTCTATTTTATCAAACAAGTCATAAATATAAAATACGTACATAAAAACCAAAAAAAATCATTAATACAAGAAATTCCAGCTTTTCATCCTCCTCACGTGCTCATGAGCATTGCTAAACTTTCACTATAAAAACGAAATTGATATAAGCAACACTGAGTTTTAAATAATAAATTCAATATTCTGAATGTAATATCAAAAAAATCTATGCATCCTTTATCCTTATTTGGTAGAGATTATTTAAATTTTATTTTTAACCACACATTTTCCAAAAAAATCACTTTTCAAAAAATCTACATCAAACAAACTCTTCATTAGCTAAGCAATTTCTTTCTTCTTTTGAGCAGTTGCACTGAGCAAGAAAATATATACAGTCAGAATGGGCAGCAACATTAGTATGATGTCAAATAACAGAACACAAACTGAGTCGAGCCAAAAAAAGGAGGGGAGGGACAATGGTTAGATGTTGCAACCATATTGAATAGCTACTTCGTAATGAAAGAGTGCTGAAACAGTTATAAATCCAGAGGCGAGGCTTAACTTAGTACAATTAGAGTCGTTACAGATGTCCACAATGGCTAATATCTACAGTTAAGTGGCTTCATCGAACAAATTTTCTACTGGAAGTAGACCTCACCATGATGTCCTTCGGCAACGAAGGTCATCTCCAAAATGGAACAGAGATTCATACGAGTAACAACATGGATATCAACTAGAATGACTCAATCAGAAGACATGACCTCAATCCTTCAAATGTAAAAAAAAAAAACAGAATGGCTATATTTCATGATCATGTATCATCATACTAAAATATGCAACCAGAATATGCTTCTAATAGATTGATCACTTCCTTCATAAATCAACTAGGCATTAAAAGTACAACAGATGTTTCTTCATATACATTTATTTTTCTGTTTCGTTCAAGGGAAGGGATAGGAATATAACTAGTCGCAACCGATCATCATTAATAGAAGTAATCATCAAGCCAGCCATGCCTCATTGGCACAAGCATTACAAAGAAGAATAGTGCCTCAGACAGTATTGTTTGTAGAGTTAAAAATGTGGTCATCTCCACAATCATTACAAGCCTACGAAGTCATCATTGGCATCCATTTATATTAAAAAATCCCCTAAACACCAAATAGGGAGTTCAACCATCTGCAACCTAGAATCCACAAGACACAACTTTGAAAAGCCTAAATACGATATGAATCTGGCAAATGAGCAGATGAGATCTTTTTATTAATCAAACTTGAAACTAAGGTCACTTATTTTGACAATTAAGAGTTATTTATACAATAAGCAATACTTTTACCTAAAAGAAAAAGCAACTTATCCAAACTCTAATTACCTATGGTCTTCCAAGTAATGGATAAATAATTCTCTATGTATTCTTTCCCATTCATTGCTATAACACAAGCATTACAAATTAGAATAGAGCCTCAGACTGTTGTTTGTAGAGTAAAAAATGTGGTCATCTCCACAATCATTACAAGCCTACGAAATCATCGTTAGCATCCATTATTTGCTTCCAGATGATGGATAAATAATTCTACACATAATGACAATGGTACAAGCTTATGCTCACCACAACAAAAAGATCACTTCAGCAGTAAAAAAGCTATTTCCCAAGCTGAATGTACAAAGTAAACAAGAATATCAAGTGCAAAATATTGAATTGAGTGTAAAACACTCCAAAATATGGACGAGCCTCAGACCGATAAAATTTGATATAAACATTGTGGTCATCTCCACAATCATTACAAGCCTACAGAGTCATCATCGGCAGACGCACAATCACTGGTAAATGTTTGATTGCAATCAAATGATATCTTACATTTAATTTTCTTATAAAACTATGAGCTAATTAGCATAAATGAAGTAACCTGACCATTGAGAATGAGGTCATTTCCACCTCCAGCCATGTTTTAAACGAAAGGATAATAGGAAATTAGAAAGATATTAGAACTATCAAATTTCACGATTTCTCATCCAGAGAAATGAACATTGTTGAGATCAGATTTACTTTACTTGAGAAGTGATTGGCCTAATAAACCCTAGTTCTGGATTTCAGACGACATATGAACGCATGGCGGCCGAAGGGACTTCAATTTGTGCTTTATTTTGCATCCCCAATAGCCGATTGGAACCGACCCACCATGTTTGATGCCCAGCTCGCCCCATGAACAGGCCTGAATTATCCGGGCGGACCGGCCCAATGACACCACAACCTTTTCTCCTCAATTGCACTTATGCCTATACATTTCTTCGTTCTCTTCAAAGTGAACTAAGCCCAAGCTCCATTATTTGAAAAAAATTTTGATTTTGAAATAGCCTTTTTTCAATAATGTGTATTTAAAACGTAAGGAGAATTTTTGAATTTATGTGCATTATTATTTTATTAAGAGAATGTGTGACTGATGAGAAGAGAGCCAAAAATAAATTAAAATTTAATGGGGACCAAACATGAGCTAAATAAAAGATAAATTAAATTTAGGGAGGTGCATTCAATTGAGATTTTTAAAGACTTTTATGAAAAAAACTTAAGTGAGTGACTTTTGTGGACTTTTAAGTGATTTCTATAGATTTGGTAAAAGTTAAATAGTTATGAATTTCATGAAATATGTTATGAAAATTAATTATTAATTTTGATTTAGATTAAAATTTATCTTTCAATCGATACCAAACACGATATATATTAAAAATTCAAAAGTTGGGAGGCATGTGCCCCCTAGGACCCCCTCGGGTCCGCCCTTGTTGGTAAGAATTAATAAAAATCTTCCATGAACTTCTGTAGAATTTCATTAGAGATTTTTAAAGACTTTTTATATTTTAAAATAAAATATTAAGCATGTATAATATAATATTTTAAACAACTTCTTTTTAATTATGTTCAACAAAAAAATATCAAACATTCCCAACATCATTTAGCATATCAGTTGCTATATTAGCCATCCATGCAATAACATTCTTTCTTGTTCTTGACTTAAAAAAAATGGTCCAAAATCTTCCCCTTCAATAACCAAAGAAGATGAAAATTTTTTATTATCAGGTTTAACAGGAAATTCATCAGAACGATACTTTTTGCGAAGAAAATTTTGTAATCCTACACAAGCTAATACGAGCTCCGCTTGTGTACGATATGACAATGGAGGAACAATTTTGAAATTTGTAAATCGTGAGTTAAATATACCAAATATCGTCTCAACTATGTTCCTCAAGGAAGCATGACGAAAATCAAACAACTCTTTTGTAGTTTTAGGTTCACGTCCTTGACGAATAAAATCTTGAAGATGATAACGAACACCTCGGAAAAGGAGTTAAGAATTGATGTCGATTTGGAAACCCAAAAAAATTTACCTAAACATAAAATACTTGTAAAATTAGCACATAACTTATAACATATATAACTATCATACAATAAGATAAAAGAAAAAAATGAAATAATAAAGTTATACCTGGTGGCACATTAAGTTTATTTCTCTTTGTTAAAGCATCACTCAACACCTTAGAATGATGTGTTGATCCCTCCCAACTACTAAGCACATATATAAATTCCAAATCCAAGTTACAAGCGGCCAAAATGTTCTGCGAAATTGTTCAGTGACGATTTCAATAACTACTTGTTTCACATCCAGTTACCATTGCTGGATTATAGGTACCATCGATAGTACCAATACAATCCTAAAATAATAAAACAATATAAACACATAACGAGAACATGAATGATAACAAAAATTATAATTATTTCATCACTTATTTTAAAGTGAAGGTAAAATCTTGTACTTTCCCTTATTTTTTCTAGCACAATGGATCCGGGTTTGACCATCATATCTACCACAAATTTGTTTAATGTCTGTAAAATCTTGTTGAAACTTTAACTGGTAGTAAAATGTGATCGACGAAATTTTTGACGAATCAAACAATATCGAGTATTTTG